GGACTCTCGCTCGCTCTCTGGACTCTCGCTCGCTCGCTCTCTGGACTCTCGCTCGCTCTCTGCTCTCGCTCGCTCTCTGGACTCTCGCTCGCTCGCTCTCTGGACTCTCGCTCGCTCGCTCGCTCTCTGGACTCTCGCTCGCTCGCTCTCTGGACTCTCGCTCGCTCGCTCTCTGGACTCTCGCTCGCTCGCTCGCTCTCTGGACTCTCGCTCGCTCGCTCGCTCTCTGGACTCTCGCTCGCTCGCTCGCTCTCTGGACTCTCGCTCGCTCGCTCGCTCTCTGGACTCTCGCTCGCTCGCTCGCTCTCTGGACTCTCGCTCGCTCGCTCGCTCTCTGGACTCTCGCTCGCTCGCTCGCTCTCTGGACTCTCGCTCGCTCGCTCGCTCTCTGGACTCTCGCTCGCTCGCTCGCTCTCTGGACTCTCGCTCGCTCGCTCTCTGGACTCTCGCTCGCTCGCTCGCTCTCTGGACTCTCGCTCGCTCGCTCGCTCTCTGGACTCTCGCTCGCTCGCTCGCTCTCTGGACTCTCGCTCGCTCGCTCGCTCTCTGGACTCTCGCTCGCTCGCTCGCTCTCTGGACTCTCGCTCGCTCTCTGGACTCTCGCTCGCTCTCTGGACTCTCGCTCGCTCTCTGGACTCTCGCTCGCTCGCTCGCTCTCTGGACTCTCGCTCGCTCTCTGGACTCTCGCTCGCTCTCTGGACTCTCGCTCGCTCGCTCGCTCTCTGGACTCTCGCTCGCTCGCTCGCTCTCTGGACTCTCGCTCGCTCGCTCGCTCTCTGGACTCTCGCTCGCTCTCTGGACTCTCGCTCGCTCGCTCTCTGGACTCTCGCTCGCTCGCTCTCTGGACTCTCGCTCGCTCGCTCTCTGGACTCTCGCTCGCTCGCTCTCTGGACTCTCGCTCGCTCGCTCTCTGGACTCTCGCTCGCTCGCTCGCTCTCTGGACTCTCGCTCGCTCGCTGGACTCTCGCTCGCTCGCTCTCTGGACTCTCGCTCGCTCGCTCGCTCTCTGGACTCTCGCTCGCTCGCTCGCTCTCTGGACTCTCGCTCGCTCGCTCGCTCTCTGGACTCTCGCTCGCTCGCTCGCTCTCTGGACTCTCGCTCGCTCGCTCGCTCTCTGGACTCTCGCTCGCTCGCTCGCTCTCTGGACTCTCGCTCGCTCGCTCGCTCTCTGGACTCTCGCTCGCTCGCTCGCTCTCTGGACTCTCGCTCGCTCGCTCGCTCTCTGGACTCTCGCTCGCTCGCTCGCTCTCTGGACTCTCGCTCGCTCGCTCGCTCTCTGGACTCTCGCTCGCTCGCTCGCTCTCTGGACTCTCGCTCGCTCGCTCGTCTCTGGACTCTCGCTCGCTCGCTCGCTCTCTGGACTCTCGCTCGCTCGCTCGCTCTCTGGACTCTCGCTCGCTCGCTCGCTCTCTGGACTCTCGCTCGCTCGCTCGCTCTCTGGACTCTCGCTCGCTCGCTCGCTCTCTGGACTCTCGCTCGCTCGCTCGCTCTCTGGACTCTCGCTCGCTCGCTCGCTCTCTGGACTCTCGCTCGCTCTCTGGACTCTCGCTCGCTCTCTGGACTCTCGCTCGCTCTCTGGACTCTCGCTCGCTCTCTGGACTCTCGCTCGCTCTCTGGACTCTCGCTCGCTCTCTGGACTCTCGCTCGCTCTCTGGACTCTCGCTCGCTCGCTCGCTTCTGGACTCTCGCTCGCTCGCTCGCTCTCTGGACTCTCGCTCGCTCGCTCGCTCTCTGGACTCTCGCTCGCTCTCTGGACTCTCGCTCGCTCGCTCGCTCTCTGGACTCTCGCTCGCTCGCTCGCTCTCTGGACTCTCGCTCGCTCTCTGGACTCTCGCTCTGCTCTCTGGACTCTCGCTCGCTCTCTGGACTCTCGCTCGCTCTCTGGACTCTCGCTCGCTCTCTGGACTCTCGCTCGCTCTCTGGACTCTCGCTCGCTCGCTCTCTGGACTCTCGCTCGCTCGCTCGCTCTCTGGACTCTCGCTCGCTCGCTCTCTGGACTCTCGCGCTCGCTCTCTGGACTCTCGCTCGCTCGCTCTCTGGACTCTCGCTCGCTCGCTCTCTGGACTCTCGCTCGCTCGCTCTCTGGACTCTCGCTCGCTCGCTCGCTCTCTGGACTCTCGCTCGCTCGCTCGCTCTCTGGACTCTCGCTCGCTCGCTCGCTCTCTGGACTCTCGCTCGCTCGCTCGCTCTCTGGACTCTCGCTCGCTCGCTCGCTCGCTCTCTGGACTCTCGCTCGCTCGCTCGCTCTCTGGACTCTCGCTCGCTCGCTCGCTCTCTGGACTCTCGCTCGCTCGCTCTCTGGACTCTCGCTCGCTCGCTCGCTCTCTGGACTCTCGCTCGCTCGCTCGCTCTCTGGACTCTCGCTCGCTCGCTCTCTCTGGACTCTCGCTCGCTCGCTCGCTCTCTGGACTCTCGCTCGCTCGCTCGCTCTCTGGACTCTCGCTCGCTCGCTCGCTCTCTGGACTCTCGCTCGCTCGCTCGCTCTCTGGACTCTCGCTCGCTCGCTCGCTCTCTGGACTCTCGCTCGCTCGCTCGCTCTCTGGACTCTCGCTCGCTCGCTCGCTCTCTGGACTCTCGCTCGCTCGCTCGCTCTCTGGACTCTCGCTCGCTCTCTGGACTCTCGCTCGCTCGCTCGCTCTCTGGACTCTCGCTCGCTCGCTCGCTCTCTGGACTCTCGCTCGCTCGCTCGCTCTCTGGACTCTCGCTCGCTCGCTCGCTCTCTGGACTCTCGCTCGCTCTCTCGCTCTCTGGACTCTCGCTCGCTCTCTGGACTCTCGCTCGCTCGCTCTCTGGACTCTCGCTCGCTCGCTCTCTGGACTCTCTCGCTCGCTCGCTCTCTGGACTCTCGCTCGCTCTCTGGACTCTCGCTCGCTCTCTGGACTCTCGCTCGCTCGCTCGCTCTCTGGACTCTCGCTCGCTCGCTCGCTCTCTGGACTCTCGCTCGCTCGCTCGCTCTCTGGACTCTCGCTCGCTCGCTCGCTCTCTGGACTCTCGCTCGCTCTCTCGCTCTCTGGACTCTCGCTCGCTCTCTGGACTCTCGCTCGCTCGCTCTCTGGACTCTCGCTCGCTCGCTCTCTGGACTCTCGCTCGCTCGCTCTCTTGGACTCTCGCTCGCTCGCTCTCTGGACTCTCGCTCGCTCGCTCTCTGGACTCTCGCTCGCTCGCTCTCTGGACTCTCGCTCGCTCTCTGGACTCTCGCTCGCTCGCTCTCTGGACTCTCGCTCGCTCGCTCGCTCTCTGGACTCTCGCGCTCGCTCGCTCTCTGGACTCTCGCTCGCTCGCTCTCTCTGGACTCTCGCTCGCTCGCTCGCTCTCTGGACTCTCGCTCGCTCGCTCTCTGGACTCTCGCTCGCTCGCTCTCTGGACTCTCGCTCGCTCGCTCGCTCTCTGGACTCTCGCTCGCTCTCTGGACTCTCGCTCTCTGGACTCTCGCTCGCTCTTGGACTCTCGCTCGCTCGCTCGCTCTCTGGACTCTCGCTCGCTCTCTGGACTCTCGCTCGCTCGCTCGCTCTCTGGACTCTCGCTCGCTCGCTCGCTCGCTCGCGCTCGCTCTCTGGACTCTCGCTCGCTCGCTCGCTCTCTGGACTCTCGCTCGCTCGCTCGCTCTCTGGACTCTCGCTCGCTCGCTCGCTCTCTGGACTCTCGCTCGCTCGCTCGCTCTCTGGACTCTCGCTCGCTCGCTCGCTCTCTGGACTCTCGCTCGCTCGCTCGCTCTCTGGACTCTCGCTCGCTCGCTCGCTCTCTGGACTCTCGCTCGCTCGCTCGCTCTCTGGACTCTCGCTCGCTCGCTCGCTCTCTGGACTCTCGCTCGCTCGCTCGCTCTCTGGGACTCTCGCTCGCTCGCTCGCTCTCTGGACTCTCGCTCGCTCGCTCGCTCTCTGGACTCTCGCTCGCTCGCTCGCTCTCTGGACTCTCGCTCGCTCGCTCGCTCTCTGGACTCTCGCTCTCGCTCGCTCGCTCTCTGGACTCTCGCTCGCTCGCTCTCTGGACTCTCGCTCGCTCGCTCGCTCTCTGGACTCTCGCTCGCTCGCTCGCTCTCTGGACTCTCGCTCGCTCGCTCGCTCTCTGGACTCTCGCTCGCTCGCTCGCTCTCTGGACTCTCGCTCGCTCGCTCGCTCTCTGGACTCTCGCTGACTCGCTCGCTCGCTCTCTGGACTCTCGCTCCTCGCTCTCTGGACTCTCGCTCGCTCGCTCGTCTCTCTGGACTCTCGCTCGCTCGCTCGCTCTCTGGACTCTCGCTCGCTCGCTCGCTCTCTGGACTCTCGCTCGCTCGCTCGCTCTCTGGACTCTCGCTCGCTCGCTCGCTCTCTGGACTCTCGCTCGCTCGCTCGCTCTCTGGACTCTCGCTCGCTCGCTCTCTGGACTCTCGCTCGCTCGCTCGCTCTCTGGACTCTCGCTCGCTCGCTCTCTGGACTCTCGCTCGCTCGCTCTCTCTGGACTCTCGCTCGCTCGCTCGCTCTCTGGACTCTCGCTCGCTCGCTCGCTCTCTGGACTCTCGCTCGCTCGCTCTCTGGACTCTCGCTCGCTGCTCGCTCTCTGGACTCTCGCTCGCTCGCTCTCTGGACTCTCGCTCGCTCGCTCGCTCTCTGGACTCTCGCTCGCTCTCTGGACTCTCGCTCGCTCTCTGGACTCTCGCTCGCTCGCTCTCTGGACTCTCGCTCGCTCTCTGGACTCTCGCTCGCTCGCTCTCTGGACTCTCGCTCGCTCTCTGGACTCTCGCTCGCTCGCTCTGACTCTGCTCGCTCTGGACTCTCGCTCGCTCGCTCTGGACTCTCGCTCGCTCGCTCGCTCTCTGGACTCTCGCTCGCTCTCTGGACTCTCGCTCGCTCTCTGGACTCTCGCTCGCTCTCTGGACTCTCGCTCGCTCTCTGGACTCTCGCTCGCTCGCTCGCTCTCTGGACTCTCGCTCGCTCTCTGGACTCTCGCTCGCTCGCTCGCTCTCTGGACTCTCGCTCGCTCGCTCTCTGGCTCTCTGGATTCTTGCTCGCTTTCTCACTCACCGGTTTGGGTGCAGCACTCTTGCTTCGAGCAGGAGTTACAATGACCTCTGCGCTGTGTGTCCTCTGGGGGGAGCTGTCAGGATGCAGGGCAATGACGGGGAGCGGGGCCACAGGAGGCGTGGGCTCAGGACACTCAGACTCCGACAGTTTGGGGAACGAGAGCGAGCGGATGTTACAGGGCCGATCGTCCACCAGCCCATTGTGCAGACCTGCCGATTAAACATGTTACATCACTCATGATACACACACCTCTCTCACACACACACTCACCGTTGCTCGGCTGTAGGATGCTCCTCAGCTCCTCCTTCTCGTCGATGGTCTTCAGCTCCAATTTGTCGAAGGGGTCCTCAGCGCGCTCGAAGTCCGTGAGGTCAAGAAGCGCAGTGTGTCCGGTCACCGTGTGGGCGGGGCTTGGCGAGGGGGCGGAGCACTGCACCGGTGTGAGGATTGCGTCGTGGCTGAGCGCTGCTAACACAGGGTTCAGAGCAGGAGGAAGCGGAGGGGCGGGGAGATGTGGCGGAGCCGGTAAGACAGGCTCCTCATCCTCGGCCTGGCCTCGACCCCTGACCGCCGCCTCCTCAAGCCCCGCCCCCCACGCCACGCTGCGCCGCTCCAGGGAGAAATCATACTGAAAACACAGACAGGAGTTTTAGGTACAAAACATTAAAGCTAGGATACGTAACTTTAAAGCTAAAGGAAAGTAAATTTCAGACCACACCAATAGAACTCAATACTAAACACATGTCTCTACTTCCTGGCTCTAAAACAGTTGCTTCAATCACTATTTTTCACAATATGTATCTCTGGCTTCTGTCAGATCATTAGATCAGTTTTTTCAGACAGAAAAGAAAAAAGAGGACCACCCTTACTCAGTCAAACAGCTCTTTGCCCACTAGGGTTGGGCGATATGGGCCTCAGCATGTATCACGATTTTTGTTGGTATGTATCACGATATGACGATATGATAATTTTAACAAAGCCTCATATAAAAGCTATAAAAACTTAGCACTGATAATTTTAACACACTTGCCTCAAAGTGCATTTACTGATTTATTGGCAGCAAAATGTGTAATACAGCTATTGTATATAAAACGTATTAACAAAACTGAATTGTAGAGAATTCTGTTTTGTACATACTGAAAATTGCAGGCAACATGTAATAAAAGGTGAACATTTGTAATTTGTAAAATATATAAAAGTTTGTCCTTTGTAATATAAAAAGTGTAGCATTATCAAATAATTATTTGATCACTTTGGCTTATGTTTCCTAATCCCAATATAGTCAAAATGATCAAATACTGTATATATTTTTTGTATCCTTTTGCGTTTCTATAATTATGTAATTATAACTTATTTGTAATTATATTGCAATGTAGACAAACACATGCATTGAAGTAAAATGAATGACAGTAAACAGTAAATAAAGCTTACCAATGGCACTATGAGAGAGAGAGAGAGAGAGAGAGAACGAGTGTCCGAAGCAAGCCACTCGAGTCCAGTTGTTTAGGGCAGCTGCTTTCACAACATTAGATCCACTGTCGATAGTTACACACAATTGCTTCTTTTTATCTAGTTCCCAAACTACTCCCATATGTTTGAGGTAGCTCCGCGTTTTGGCACAATGTCTTCTACAATCTGCATGTCTTTACCATGGTCTTCACCGCCGCACTCACCCATGTTTGCTCTCTGCTCTGTTGTTGTTGTCCCTGCACGCCGCTCTGCTACACGTGCTGCGCAGATGCGTCATCAAAGTGCGCCGCACACAAACGTGTCTTCCGCTTGCTGTTTTCAGTGTTAAATGATCGTTTTCACCGGTATAAGGCATTTTCTTATCATTTAATTTACTTATACCGGTATACCGGTACAAAAAAAATATCGCCCAACCCTACTGCCCACAGACTCAATGACTCACAGGGCTCTTTCTTTCACATAAAATGAAGACAGTAAGTTGTATCCAAGCCCCTGGGATCAAAGATGCCACCCTAGTCAAATGGGGATCGTCTGGTCCTCCCGGTTCTGTGCAGTGGACGAGCTCCCATGATGCGTTGTGCCAAATACGCATGTGTGGCTCTCATGCACGCGCTCTGACCAATCAGAGCTGCTGATCAGAGCAGAGCTAGAGCAGGAGTTAGAGCGGGTGCCAAACGAGCAGACTTTGTGGCACTAAAGTGTGGATTTAAAGAAAAACGAAGGATTTAAGAAGAAAAAATTATCCCCACAAAATCCGAGCTTTCTGAAAGCTGTAGGTTCTCTGTCAGCTGAGGTCAAGCTGTTTTGGTTTATTTATTTTTTTCTAGTAATACCCGATCCAGATATTATAGATCCATGGATACATGGTTGTGTCTGATTTGTTCACAACCTTTAACTTTTTCAAGACTCTTTCTGTTCAAACTACATGTTACTTATTAGACTAAAGCTACGTACCCCTGCTTTAAAGTGAGAGGAGGCTGTTCTCTAACCTGTGTGCCGAGCAGAGCGGCGTCCGGCAGACAGAAGCCCACAGGTAACCCCACTTTGGCCGGACACCGGAACTTCTCACTGAGTTTAAAGGGGACGTCCTCCAGGTAACTCACAGGACCTGAGGCACAAGAGACTGTTATACAGAGACAGACCAGAGAGAGAGAGACAACAGAAAGTCCAGAGAGAAAGAGACATCATACACAGAGAGAGAGAGAGAGAGAGAGAGAGAGAACAGAGAAAGACAAAAGGATGACCAGAGTAAGAGACCAGAGAAAGAGATCAGAGAAAGAGATCAGAGAAAGGGACCAAAGAAAGGGACCAGAGAGAGAGACATGGTTCAAATCTGTGGAGAATATCAAGAAAGTAATGAGTGCTGTGGTAGAAGCAGGCAGTAGCACTGTTGTCTTTTCCGAATGTTAAATTGTGGCTAAAACTCACCGTTATTGAATGCGTCAGATGCAGATTTCCTCGCAGCCATTTAGAGTCTGCCCAAAAGAAAACAGAAATGTGACGTCCAAGAGCCAAACAAAGGCCCAACCTTAGATTTGAATTTTCTTCGGGATTATACAAGTACATGCAACTGTTTTAGAGCCAGGAACTAGTGACATGGATTTTCTTCCAGAGCTGCGTATCCTAGCTTTAACAGTGCTGTAATTGAGGTGATCCTAAAACTAAACCTGTGTGTCCAAATTCAAAAACTATTTTCAAAGGAACAACAGAACTGAAGCCTCTGTGTGCGAACAACTCTCCTCTGATCACACGTCTGAGCGCCCGTTTCCAATATTAGGCATAAATAGATTATATTTCAGCCCGCGGAGACATTAACTGTTTACTTACAGCTGTACAAAGGCTTAGTCATGGTCTACAGTTATGCAACGACCATGACATGCCACATTTACGAGTCCAGTGCCAACAACAACGAATCGGTCTAAACATAGGGAAAACTATTACTGCTTTCCTATCACAAAGCCACTGTCCGTAATGGAAGCCAAGCAGAACTCATCATATTCCAGTCCTGACAAATTTACAAAACGAATTCTGTGACTCGTCAATGTCAATCAAAGATAATAATATTAAGTTTTAAATTAACTATATCTCTTTTACATTTGAGACCATGAACTGGGGCTAGCCCAATTACGACTAGCACTACTGTCAGTATAACGTGTTAAAAGGCAAACATTACACTTTACGCCCAAGACACGTGGGCGTTATTCAGGAGCAACGTGTCATATTTACGACTGAGGGAAGTTTAATGTATTTAATGTTCATTTTGTGATGATTTTGCGCTTGTTTTTGCGCTAGCAGTAGCCTGGCTAACGTGGCTAATGTTGTGACAGGCAGCACCACCCCTCTCTGCTTAAAAACCCCGGAGAAAAGCCTCCTTCCGCGGGTCCCACCTGGTCCTGAGCCGTGTCCACAGCTCGAAACACGGGGCACAGTCTCCCCCAACACTGTCTGGCTCTGGAGCAGGGGCCGAGGTGCTGTTTTCCGGGCTTAAATCAGAGAGAAGCCGCTGTTCTCCGCGACCTCTTCGTGCGACGCCATCTTGCATGAGTGCGCTGGTTCCTGGAGTGACGTCACGGGCTGCTGTCACGTGAGGTGTGAAGCAAAAATTAATTGTTACAATAATAAAAGGTATAAAGGAGGATTTTCTTCTTCTGGGTGGATCATCAAGACCATTGGTCCTCCCAATTGTCAATCATTCTGGTGATACGTGCTTGTCAAATAAGACCAGAGAGCTTGGTTCAAAACAGTGAGAGGGCAGTTCTTTCCTAAAATTTGGGAAAATCCTCTTATATAGCTTTAACACACGCTCTATTATAGGATATATAAAAAATAATATGAACAAAAATATTATAAATATAATATGACATGTATACAAATAAATAAATATCATCAGGACTCCCATTCAAATCAACGGAATTCTTAGTTTAGCGCAGACTGGTTGCCTTCTGTCAGTGCCCTAGGACAGCTGTGGCTACAGTAGTTTATCACCACTGTGTTTGGAGTGAAAGAGAAATTATGAGAGTCCAGAAAAGTGCTGCGGCCTAGTATTATTGTTATTAATATTATACACTATTTCAGAGTATTATTATTTTCAAAGTTTCAGTGGAATATGTGGAACAAATATGAGCGTTAAACTTAAGTATAATAGCTATAGTTTGAGGATTTATCGTAGTGTAAAAAGTTAAAAAAACAGAGCACTGGGAGAAGGGGCGGGGGCAGTACCTGACCAGAGTGGATAGTGCTAAACACAACTGCAGGTCAATGACTGATGAGGAACAGTGTTGACCATGGAGACAAGAGAATACTGATACTATTCATATGAAGCACATGTAGAAAGGACTGTGTCTTTAATCGCTGCACTGCATATTGTTACGCTTTTATTATCATATTTTTCAGCTCTGATCGGGAGCGCGCATGTCACTTCTGCGCCTGCGTGCTTTGAACTGACAGCGGGCACGCGCAGGAGCCGGAAGCGACGACGGAAGAAAAATAAAACCGCTGTAAATCTGCGGGGAAAAGCAGCGATCAGCGGCGTTTGTGTCTGGTTCCAGAGCGCAGTGAGGGACTGCGGAGGACAGGGGGCTCTTACGAATACAACAGCCCCACAGCAGCGGGCGGACATTCTCCTCTTCCCCCGAGAACAGAGCCTGGCGAGCGGCTAACTTCAGCTGCAGAGACGTAAACAACAGCTGTGGTGGAGGTACAGTTCGACCACATAAGAGATACAGGAACATCACAATAATTACATGTAAACTCTTATATTACAATAAGACAGTTCAGCTCAAACACATCTGAGATTGATACAGAAACATCACGGTAGTAATCATTGTAACATGTAAACTATTATATTGCAATGTGCATCTCACGGGTATCAGGGCAATACAGGAATTTCACGGGAATTATCATAACAGCTATCGATTCGCTTCCGCTTTATCCGCTGCTGGGTCGTGGGGGCAGCAGTATGAGAAGCGACGCCCAGACTTCCCTCTCCAACACACTTCCTCCAGCTCATCCAGGGGAATCCTGAGGCATTACCAGGCCAACTGAGAGACACAAGCCCTGTCTGCTCTGCTCTGCTCTGCTCGGCTCGGCTCTACCCTCCCCTCCTCCGATTGAGACTGTTCCCACTGGCCTTTACCAGGTGCTTTTTTAGTCCTTCTTGGCCCTGGTTCTGCCCAGGCCAAGATGGTTCAAAAGTTTTCTAACTGACAGTGATCGGCCAGAATGCTACTGGAAACCAGGGTTACTGGTTGGTTCTGGTTTCTACGATTAGTACCAGATACTAAAGCATAATGGAAACACAACCAGGTAGAGCAGAGCGGAGTGGTGCGACATGCTCCGTCCAGGAGGCCTCCCAAACAGATGCCCGAGCCACCTCACACTTGGAGAAGCAGCGGCTCTACTCCAAGCTCCTCCCATGTGACTGAGCTCACACGGTTGTATCTGCAGTCTCATCCTTTTAGGTTGTCACAATAATATAGAAATTATAATATCCAGGCAGTATAGCTCATGATTACAATAATCAATATAATTGGACCTCTTCATACAGTGACGGCACTAAAGAAACTAAAGTATTGAGGGGAAGATGTTTCTCTGTTGACTTCCTCCTGGGTCTAAGCCTAACCCTGCCATCTTTGAGGGTTTCTGAATACATGGCTCCACTAACCTCTAACACATTGTTCAGTTGATAAACCGTGGTTTTATATATGCTTGTTTGTCTCTTACAGAGACCCTCACAGAACCCCACTAACCCTCACAGGGGGAGACTGATCACACTCTTCTCCCCCACAGGTCCTGAACCCCACAGAGCAGTGACCCAGCTCTGACGCACACCTGGGACCATGAGCCACTGAGAGGTCTCTGCACACAGGTAACACACACACCCCCACACACACACACACACACGCACACAGTCAACTCAAATGCACACAGGTAACACACACACAGATAGCACCCTCTCCAGGTAAATAATCATGCATCGATTTTATATAGCGCTTTTCTGGACATTCCTAGACGCTTCATATGTTATTATTCATTCATTCCATACACGGTGGTGATAATCTACTGCTGTAGCCACAGCTGCCCTGGGGCACACTGACAGAAGAGAGGCAACCAGTATGTGCCATCGGCCTCTCTGACCACCACCAACCATTCACACACACACCAGACTCATTCTAGGAAATGTGGGTGAAGTGTCTTGCCTAAGAACACAATGGCAGTTTGGCACTTTACAGCTGCAGCCGCCCCACTGTGGCACCTGGTGTTCCCAGAGGTTAAGTGTCTTGCTAAGGACACAACGACAGCAAAAATCAGTGGGAGTCGGTGGAGAAAGTCTTGTGGTGGGCTCAAAGGCCAATGCTCTTCCAACTTCGCTACTGTCGGCCCTACACCCCTCTACAGTGAGCGATACACCTTAAGCCTGGTTCACACGAGACGATTTTAAAATTGTCGGCCGATTTTTTTTCTCCGTGAGAGACCCCACACACGGAGATAAAAAATCACGGGTCTAACCACTTTGGTCGTACAGTGTGTGGTGTGCAGCCACACGGCAAAATTACGCAAACGACCACACACATCACCAGTGATGGGAATAACGGAAACAAAACGGCGTTACTAACTCCGTTACTTTTTTCAGTAACGAGTAATCTAACTAATTACTTTGACTGTAACTATAACGGCGTTATCATTTCCGACACCCCGTTACTGCACGTTACTCAAGACACACAATGAACTTCTCTTTTTACTTCGTGATGGGACTCCTGCGCATGTTGTCATTAGAGAAGGGAGGATGAGAAAACCTCTCAGCAATTATTGGCTGATGTAAAACATATTTCCTTTACAATCTACATGTCTACAGTTGAGAGGATGGCTCATAAATTGTTTTTTGAAACAAATATGGGTCTTAATCGCGCTCAACCACGGCTTGTATCACCTTGAGGCCAGCCTCAGAGGAGCGCATGTGAGCCGATTTCACCCCCGAGCATTCACAGGTCAGACGGAAATCTCACAATATCTCTCGAGATCAAGCGTGACTTTAGAGTAAACAGAGTGTGCTGGCCTCTCTGCTTCACGCAGCCTACCACAGCAGCCACAGACACCATGAGGACTACCTGTGAACGCATCACACACACTGCTAGACAGGAAACTTTACATACAGTACGCGCAAACCAACAAGCACGGCTGCATCAACACGTCTACTGTATTAGGACAGAGTGCAAAGTAAACGTACAAACACAACCCATCAGTCTGATCATTTAGTGCAGTGGTTCTCAAAGTGGGGTATGCGTACCCCAAGGGGTACGCGGGGCTCCCTCTAGGGGTACGCCAAAGAATCACTGAAAAAAAAACAGGAAAGTAACATTAAAATTAACTCATTGATGTCAATTGACGTCAACATTGTTTTTAAATCTTTTCCTGTCTGTCTGTGTCTGTGTATCATATATATCTGGGGTTTGGCTGTAGGCAGTAGTGCCTGAGCACTCTGAGCAGGAGAGACAGAGGTAAAGCAGGCATGGAGTAATATAGTCATGGTCAGGCTACATTTGGAGGCAGTTTGAGCAGTAAATTTGTCTCCAGAGCTGACACAGACCATGTGGAGGGTCATGGCAGCAGACCAGCGGTGCACCTCAAAAAAGCCACATAAAAGTGGACTATTCCTAAAACTATCACTGAGTCCGCACCAGGAGCCAGCGGCAAAGTCCAGTTATGGTCACAACGCTCGCTGGCCTAAACAGAACGACACTTAGTCTGTAGATGTAACTACTCAAACGTGCGCGTAAACGCACATCCATGCGCGCCCAAACACACAAAGACACACAACAGTATTCTATTGCACTTTGATTTATTGTCGTTTATAGTGTTTATCATTATAATTTTTCTTATCTCCGATTCACCCTTTTTGACATAAATATAGCACCACCTAATGGATGAATACTGGCCATTCTTTCTGGGATAGTTTGTCATGGGCTCTACTTTCAATATGTACTTTTTGACGTTTCTTGTGTACATTTTGAAATATTTGAACAACACTTTGTGGATGTGTGTGCCATAAAACATATTATTTTGCATCAAAAACACGTTCTCATAACTTGCTGTTTTCTAACATGTAAGATCCTGGACATGTTTGAGGAGATGCTAAAGTTAAACTAAATAGTGTTATAGTCACTTTTCTGCAGGTTTGTCTGTTTTCATAAACACCTCATTTTCTCAACTTTTTGTCTAAGACTGGTGCTTTTTGTCACACTCCCCTCTTTTCGACTGGAGATCACAGGAGAACGAAACAAGCTAAAAACAAACTTCTTTTTGCACCTGAAAGTAGACAGTCCTGTCTTTCAGACTCTGGTTTCATATTTTTAATAGCACACAATATTCTGTGAGCCTGGAAAATCAGTGAAGTCATCAAAAATGGCTGGCAGTCAATGAGAACCTCTTTCAAGGGAGTCCTACAATTACATACAATTACAGATTATAAAACAGTCACATACAATTTCATAAAATTACTGATTATAAAATCAGTTACAATTCACTGAAGATGTCTCAAGTGCTCTCAATCTGGATCTGAAATCATTCAATGACATACAGTCAGTCAATCATTTCCAGTCTTTTTGCAACACATTCCATGTAGAAGAAGCAGCAAATACAAAAGCTTCTTTAGGAATGAAACCTCTGCCTTGTTTTTGATGAATACTTAGGCTTATTACGCTACTGCGGGCGGCACGGTGGCTGAGTGGATAGCACCCTCGCCTTTCAGCAAGAAGGTCCTGGGTTCGAATCCCGGTTGGACCAGGGCCTTTCTGAGTGGAGTTTGCATGTTCTCCCCGTGCCTGCGTAGGTTTCCTCCGGGTACTCCGGTTTCCCTTACCACTAAAAATATGTACAATAGGTCTGGCATGCGCCTCCTGTTCGGCGACCCCGCTCCCATCTCTGTGTGGAGTGAGAGACAAGTGCCCAAAAAATAACAATTGTAAACCGCTTTGTGACTCTGGTCTGTGAAAGGCGGTATATAAATAAAAGCTTACTTACTTACTTACTTACTGTGTGGCGTTAGTCATTTTTGGTGATACTTGGAGAGGCGAGTATTTTCTGAAGTGGTACTTTGTGTAAAAAGTTTGAGAACCACTGATTTAGTGTACTAATCCCCTCCGAATAGGGCTTATGCCAACACTACCTGTGCAGCAGCAATTTCTGCCCAATTCCTCTCCTTGTCATTTCGGTGATGATATTCTTTACACGACACGTCATACATACATTCACGGTCTTGCCAGAGGTCAACTAGTTGTCCACCGAACTTTCTGGTGCGCCATGCCGCTGACTGTTTTATTTTTTTACGGTGTTTCCTCGCGCGCTTGTCTCATCTTCTGATTGGCTACACGCCGCAGTCATGTCAACGAGCACGTCTGTCCTCGGGGGACACCACACACGAAGAGAAATCGGGCCAAAACAATCCAAGATGTTGGATATCCCTGATATTGAGATCGGAGCAGTCCCGAAGTCCTTCCGAGTGTCGAGCACAGTCTTAACACACCACACACGGCAGGAAAATCCATCAGATTTTTTTTTACGATATTCGGAGCGTTCTTACGATTGTCGTAGGGGTAAATCGGGTCTAAAATCGGCCTAATTATCCTGCCGTGTGAACCAGGCTTTAGCGATACACCGTAGAAGGAGGGAACTTAAGAGTTTTTCCTTGCCGATAGTGATGATCCAGGGCACTCTACACTCGACATTCGACAAAACTCAATATTCAACAACTTTATTGATTACCCGTAGGAGAAATTCAGGTGTCCAGCAGCAGAAAACCTATACAGGTCTGTTGTCTGACAGCCGAATAAACAAAGGATCTCTTAAAACGTTCCATTCGGCAGCGCAGTGATATAAGCCTGTTTCTACAATTACTCCTCTTAGCAGCCATAGTGTCATGCAGAGGGTGTCTGGAGTTACCCTGGAAGCCCTGCATAAGAGCCCTCATCCTTCTTTCCAGCACAGTGAGGTAACTCTAAATCCAGTTGGTAAAGATAGGGTCAACTCAGATCATCTCCAGTTTCTCCCTCAGTAAGAGAGGTTGGATGGTGTTAAATGCTCTGGAGAAATTGAAGAACATCAGCCTCACATAGCCTCCAGGGCCATCCAGGAAGAACCCGGGCCGATGGAGCATATACTGGACTGCGTCATCCACTCCCATGTTCTCCTGATAGGCAAACTGCAGGGGGTCAAGAGCCTGCTCGACCTGTGGCATGAGCAGTCGGAGTACTAGCCTCTCAAAAGTCTTCATTATGACACGTTAGTGCCACTGGTCTGTAGTCCTTGCATCCTGTTGGCCTTGCTACTTTGGGGATGGTATGGAGAGGCTCAGCTAACTCCGCTGCACATTCCTTCAGGAGCCTTGGTGTTATCCCATCAGGCCCAGCAGACTTCCTCCCGTGGAGCTTCTTTTGCTCCACCCGGACATCCTCCATGGGGAAGAGGGATGCAGCAGCAGGGGTAGTGTTGCCGCCAAGAGGAGTAGGACAGGTCACAGCAGCAAAGGTGGTGTAGCCGCCGGGAGGAGCAGGACAGGTCACAGCAGAGGTGGTGTAGCTGCCGGGAGGAGCTTGATTTTCTGATCTGGGTTGGCAAATTCAACTGCCTTCCAAAATAACTACTGATTTATGGCTATACAAGATTACTTTGAATTAATTTGACTGGCTGAACACCATAGTGTTCGCCTTACAGCTGTAGAAGTCGATTAGAACTAACTCCCACAGGCTCTTTGGAGTTTTCTCTAATATGGAGGAATGTGGAGCGAGCAGCGGTCAAGCAACCAAGAGCCAATCATGAGCTGCGCCGGTCTGTTTGCTCTCGTGCTACTTGCTACAAAAGCAGAATTTGTCTATCGAAGGCATCTGATTGGTCAATCCTCAACTCCCAACTCTGTGTGGAGTGAGAATACAAATACCCACAATTGTAAAGCGCTTTGTGACTCTGGTCTGTGGAAGGCGTTTTATAAGTAAAGATTACCTACTTATTTACTCATGGATTTACAAAGACAATATAAACACCAGGATCAAAGAGGGCGATAAACCAGATTTAAGCCCAATACCTCTGACCTCTGTTTGTACCCTGACCTCTGTTGCTATGACCTCTGTGACCATGACCCCCAACTTCTGTTGCCCTGACCTCTGTCTTAGGTGACCGCGGCCGTCATGGCGCAGCAGACCACCCCCAGCTCGCAGAAGGCTCTGATGGTAGAGCTGAAGTCTCTGCAGGAGCAGCCGGTGGAGGGCTTCAGGATCACTCTGGTGGAAGAGTCCGACCTGTACAACTGGGAGGTTGCCATCTTTGGACCGCCCAATACCCTGTACGAGGGCGGGTACTTCAAGGTAAAGACCACACACTGTATGTGGGCAGGTACTGCAACACACTGTATGAGGGCGGGTACTTCAAGATACAGCAAACGCACTGTACAAGGGCTTCAAGGTACTGCAAACACATACTGTGCGAAGGCGGGTACTTCAAAAACACACCCTGTACGAGGGTATGTACTTCAAGGTACCGCAAATATACTGTACAACAGTGGGTACTGCAAAGCACTTGTGAATAATCTGTTCATTAAATCCTGTGTCAGTGTTCAAGCTTCTCCTTTTCATGTGTTTGTTCTGTTTCAGGCTCATATAAAGTTCCCAGTGGATTATCCATACTCTCCCCCAACCTTCAGGTTCCTCACCAAGATGTGGCACCCCAACATCTACGAGGTACACAGACGGACGGACAGACAGACATGGCTTTGTTATTAAAGAACTGCAAAGTGTGTTGTCGTGGTCCACACTTGGGGATACATGGGGGATTGTTTAACAGTTGAAATCCAGAGCACTTTAAAATCATAAAGTGCATGTGTTGTTTGCAGAGCTGGAGTTTGCTGAATAATGGTTGCCTGTACTATGTGACTCGGTGCTAATGCTGTTGTTTTCTTTCAGAATGGAGACGTCTGCATCTCCATCCTCCATCCTCCTGTGGACGACCCCCAGAGTGGAGAGCTGCCGTCTGAACGCTGGAATCCCACGCAGAATGTTCGGTGAGCTCTCTGGTCTCTCTCTCTGGTCTCGCACTCTATTCTCTCACACTGGTCTCCTACATTTTTATTATTTTGTGTCTTTCAGAACGATCCTGCTGAGTGTGATCTCGCTGCTGAATGAACCAAACACATTTTCTCCGGCAAACGTTGATGCCTCTGTCATGTTCCGCAAGTGGAGAGACAGCAAAGGCAAAGAGAAGGAGTACGCTGAGATCATCCGGTAACAACATATTCTATACTACTCCACTCCACTAACATCATAGGCTCGTATCACAACAGTTACATTTATTTAGTTCAGAGGACTCTTTCTTTCTGGTCTCTCTGGGGTCTCTCTGGTCTCTCTCTGGTCCCTCCCATAGCCCTCTGTCCTGTTCCTCCTGTTTCCTCTGTCATGACCAGGTCTACAGTGTGTTCTCTGTTGTGATTGGGGTATTGATCACAGCATTTTGACTTGAATGGCATGTCCAGTGGGTGATGATGTCAAAAAAACTTTGACGGACGTGTCCAGGATTATGCAGGATACAAGACGAAGACTTTTTCCAAGATCCTTCTTTCCAGCACAGTGAGGTAACTCTAAATCCAGTTGGTAAAGATAGGGTCAACTCAGATCATCTCCAGTTTCTCCCTCAGTAAGAGAGGTTGGATGGTGTTAAATGCACTGGAGAAGTTGAAGAACATCAGATTGGGGTATTGATCACAGCATTTTGACTTGAATGGCATGTCCAGTGGGTGATGATGTCAAAAAAACTTTGACGGACGTGTCCAGGATTATGCAGGATACAAGACGAAGACTTTTTCCAAGTTTAACATCTATATTTAATTTATCTTTACAATCAGATACAGAAATTCAACAAAAGAGCTCCTATGCTGCCTATGTCCCTCGCTCGCCCTGTGCTGACTGTCCTCAAAGACCTTCAGGGAGGTTAAATGTAGGAGACTTCCGATGACGTCATCCATATGCGCCCAAGGGTTTTCCATCCGGGTGTGCTGGCGTCCCTTGTCCACTGGGAGGCGTCAGAATGCCGTTGGTGAATCCCCTTTCTGCCTGATTGTGTTGGACTTTGCTCTCGTTCAAGAGAGGGAGAGAGCATTGTTTATTCATGGAGTCAATAATTGTCTGGTTTTGTAAGCTGGTTATCTTTATGATTCCCGTACTATCTTGTGTCCTTGGGGTTTTTCCTGAGTGCACATTCTTTGTCTGATGTGCAGCATTTTGTGAATATTCGTCAGTCCCTCTTTTGACCTATCTTACAATAGGTCACATCCACCTCCTCGTTCATCATCAATACTTGTGCTTTAGGCTTGATATCTGTGAAGAGTCAATACAGAGAAAATAAACAACACACAACCACATTCGAAACATGTTTTTATCTAATAAATCTCTCTATACTGTGGTTTGCTTTCATTAACAGTGGCTTTGTGCCCAACGTGGGGCTTTGCTCATTTTTCCAAATACATTTGTTGAACCAGGAAGCTCTGTCACTTCCTCCTCTCAGACAGTTTGGGATGAATGTACATCATTAATCAAATTAGTATTATCCTTACAGGAGCTAATCTATTTTAGCAGGTTTTGGGGTCAGTTACTCTACAATGGTATTTGATTCTCTAATCTGTGCTGACAAATCGACAGCTCTTAAAATTCTCAAAAATACCTAAATATCTACTTTTGTGCTATACCCAAATACATTAAAATGCTTTTAAATGTTTTTGAATCTGTGTTGGTTCTAATCTATCTCATTAATCTAAGCTACACTTAGATTAGGATAGGAAACAGAAAGGATTGGTGATGATCAGGACACTTTAGTATTCTACAACATGTATGGACATTTTCTTCTGTGTGTGCTTTATATTCTTCATGTGTTTTAACTGTTGATTCTCTGACCTGTGTTGGTGATTTCAATGGTTTTGTTAAGTCCTCTGAGATGACTTCTGTTGTGACCTAGGGCTATACAAGAATAAATTGTATTGTATTGTATTGTACACTCATGAACTTCTTGCATTGTCAACATTCACCTATGTTTGAAACAAGTGAATTTGACAAGTATCTAATAAAACTGTGCATGAACTGTAATGCACTTTATCTACTTTTGAAGTAAATACTTTTGGACATATTATGAAGGAAATGGTCCTTTTACCGTTTGATATTAGCCCTGGCTAAAAATAATCTCTATTTTTGAAAGCATCTATCTATTTCTACTCTATTGTGACTCCAAAGCTCGTTTGTAGCTTGAGCCAAAGCATATTTCCAATTTGTGACTTCTGTCACTTTCAATGGCTGTAAAATAATTCTGATTCTAACAGTTTAGCTGCTCTATCAGAAGGATCACATTGTATGGTACCGTTTTAACTCTTACGCTGAAGTGTGTTTATGAACAATGATCAAATTCAACTTTTTTCTACTATTTAACATCTACTAAAACGCTGAAATACTCATACTTTATCTTTTTAAACCATTTTAACAGTTGCTCAGTCTCCCAGACTAAAAGTCAACCTTTTTGTCTGCCAGACTGAACACTTACCATTTATTGCATTCGTCGCAGTTGTGGTTATAGTTGTAGCAATAGCAACGGCAATAGATGATTTTTCATTGGCTGGTTCTTGTTCTGCAAATCACTATTTTATGTATTGTATTTCAGACAATTCCAAAAACAACACAGTAGTTCTCCAATATTAAAGACATGAATCTAATCAAGTTGCCTGAAAGGGAGCGGGAAGAAGAGAACTATTTTAAAAACGTTCTCTACGATTATATGGCTATAAAATTAGTTATTTAATAAACAAAAGCACATTCATGGCTTCTGTCCGCTGCTTATAACTGTTTAAAGAGTTGTCCCAAACTTAATATGTGTAAATACATCAGCTGTTTGTAATAAACAATAACATTTAACCTGTTCTCCAATGGAGCAGCTCAGAGGCTGCATCAAAAGCAATGTTATATTTGAGCTATTTTTAGATTTAAAATTTTGTTAAAGCCTGTCGTTCTATGTCTGCATTTTAATACTACTCTCTATAAACACATCTGCACTAGATCCTACAGATGTGGAAAACAGAAGCATCTAAAATCTGACTATTTGATTCCTTTTTACTTTAGTTATTAGAACAATTTGACCTTATTGATACTCACAATAGAACAATTTTGATTATTCACTAGTCTAACTATTATTACTATTGTTTATTCTGACACCTCTTCTTAGCGACATTTTAACCTATAGCTCCTTGAATCCAATGACATTATAGCTCCAGACTATTTCATTCTATTCTATTATTATTATATGATCTATTATCTTAAAGAGTAGATCTGTTTGATGTGTGCATTATAAGCGCTATTATTTCTCCTTTTGAATTTGCACAGCACTAAATTTAGAATGACCCCCTATGGGACAAATAAAGAATTTTATTTTATTTTGGCAACTCCGAAAATTATTTTATAGTTTTTCCATTTTGCTTTTAGGCTGCCCTTTCCATTATTTATTTGTTCTTGTAAATATATGTTTTACACTTCTTTCTAATGTTTAGAAGGTTAAGGACCATGACCACCTATGACAATAACATTACAATACTCCCTCTCTTGGTCGTGGGCCAAGTGTAAATGTATGCGTCTGTGTGTGTGTAGATTACTGTTCCAATTATCTCCAGTTGTTTCTCCCGGATCGTCCTCAATTCGTATTGTGGGCTTTGGTGCCAACGTAGAGGCTCATTTCCTCTAATGATCCGTACTACTGTGTTATCCCTGAAGCAGGTGTAGTTTATCTTTTATCTGAAAGAGAAACATTAGAACACAAGAAATGCCCACTTCCCTCTCTTCGCATGGTGCAGCCCGTCAATCATTCCAATTGGGCAAAACATAATTGCATTGACAGACGGTCGTGTAACATCAGGGCAGAGGCTGTAGCCAAATACAGACTTAACAAAATGTATGTTTCTAATTTTATACTCCCCTAAATGTGAGTTACAAACCAAAGTTGTCCTCCCACCGCTCACTGTGGGTGGACTGTGTCACTGTCAGAACGAGCAGTAGAACTTCCCGCACAGTACTCATCTCAGAGTACTTTCCGCAGAGTACTTTCTCAGAGTACTCATCCCAGAGTACTCTCACTTTTACACCTGTTCAATAAAGCTGGTTATCTTTGAATCTCTAGTACTTACACCGTATGCTGTTGACAAAAAATAATTATTCCATGATCACATTAAAACATTACAGGAAAACATTGGTTATTCCATTCTCCGTTCAGCACTCCTCATTCACTCCTCATTTCACAACACACTCCTGGCCACACACCGACTCACCACGTTAGTATATTGGTCCAGAGTTTGTTAAGGTCAACGTAGTGTACTTGACATGACGCACAAACATATAACACACACAAACATATAGACAACACAGGAGGCCTGTAATTTTAACTTGGTTATATTTTTTCCATGTCCAATTACAATTGTCTCATGAGCTATTTCTATTGTTGCAACTTTCAGAGCCTGCAGAACATGCAGAGCTTTAAGAGATTTTTTCCTAAAAGGATCCATTTCAAACTTTAATGTTTAAACCACGTGGTCTTTGCTCGGGCTTCTCACAGACTGTGTCCCCTATATTTTTAATGAGCTCTTGTTGTTACTTTAAGACTCGTGCACGTGCTATAAATGTGACAGTGATCCCCAAGCACTGCTCTCCTGCTCTGGAATATCTTTTCATTCATTGTAAACCATATTACTCCCCGCGCGAAATTGTTTCATTCATTCTTGCCTCTGTTTACATACCGCCATGCGCGGACGCGCGCGAGGCTCAGCGCGCACTTGCAGAGCAAGTACTGTGTATGGAACGCTTATACCCGGACTCTCTGATTATTATCCTGGGGGATTTTAATAAGGGAAACTTGAGCCAGGAATTACCCAAATACAGACAGTTTATCAAATGCCCGACCAGAGAGGAGAACACTCTGGATCACTGTTACACCACCGTGCGCGGAGCTTTTCGCGCTGTTCCCAAGCCAGCCCTCGGCTTCTCAGATCACTCCATGATACATCTGGTTCCTGCTTACAGACAGAGACTAAAGCTCTCGAAACCTGCAATGAGGAGCTCCAAAGTGTGGTCTGATGAAGCTGTGGAAGAGCTGCGCGCATGCATGGAATCTACAGACTGGGACCTTTTCAGAGCTGCCACAGATAGTTTGGATGAATATACGGACACTGTGACGTCATACATTCACTTCTGTGAGGATAGCATCA